ATGCTCTCCCAACAACACCCTGCCCTTTGAGCAAATGGTGCTCAGAGCAAGCTTCATGAAAACCCCGAACGTGGGGGTCAGCAACATAGCAAGCAGAATCCTCCGTGGAAACACAATGAATAAGGTTTTCCTCAGAATGGCGGCAACCTCCTTTGCCTTGTTGAACACACGGAACCCATGTCTGAGCTAATGGCAATCCATGTGTCTCACATGCAGAATTCAGAACCTCTAGAATCTCAGGTAATGCCGCTTGGTAGCTCAAATCACATACCTGATAAAATTATCCAATATATCATGCTGAAAATTTTTATAGTCTTCAACAAATGCTTTCTTTTGCAAGTTCAGTCCAATTACCTTGGCATTCTGAGTGGTTGAAACTTCGGAAGTCCGGAGATTAACAGCCTATTAAGAAATAAGAAGTTTGAGAGAATTTCAGGAAACTGGAACCTCTCTATATTACCAAAGTGTGGACAAACAAGCAATTCCATGTGGATAACAAAAGCAAGACTTATGCACACTAAAAACAAGAACCGAAAATCTTGACTAAACAGAATGCAGCTTATGAGACTATAAGAATCTGATCCCTAACTAAGTGCAATAATGAGGATTAAATAAAGGAGAGGAACATCAAATGATTAGATAAATTAGCAAAGTGAAGAAATTAGCAACAAGTACTAATGGAACTCAACTTGTTTCTGATTTGCTAACTTTACTAGTATTTTTTATTATTATTTTGACTAAGTAATGTAGTTTTTGTAAACTTAACTATTATTGTCTCAATCTCCGTAACTTCATCAGATATTAATTCATTTGGAATTGGCATTTCATCTTGATCTTCGTGAACTATCTTTTTGTATAAGTAAAGCACAAAACTATTCTTTATGATAACCAAGAAATGATTACAGTTGTAAAAGTTCTACTCCTTATCTAAGTGAGATAAAGACTCCAAAGCCCATGAGCACTGTCCTAAAACAACCAAGAAACTGTCAGTGATACTACTTCTTTAAAGCCACAACAAATTAACTAACGTGCGAAACAGCAATAGATTTCATTATACTGAGCTTTATATTATCGCAGCCTATTAGGAATATAAACTTAAGCTATCTAACAAAAACAAATTAGAGGGAATGACAAACCTTAAGAGCTTCGCACACACTTTCAAGCTCCGGGCGATACTTGATCTTCTGTGTGGTCATGACAACTTCAATAACACCCAAGCAGTTACGACTACCTTGCTCAAATACAGGAACAGCAAGGGTGCCCCGTACATCATACTGCTGAGCATGTTCAACACGCGGATACTCTTCACTCCGGAAGAATCTAACATCAGGTGACCACTCAGGAACTTTATCTGCAAACACTCGGCCTGGCAATCCAACAATCTCCTTAGAATCTTCATTTGCAGGAAATTGATAGTTTACAGAGACTTGACGGTAGTTGGCAAGCCTTGGGCAATTAAGGTCTAGTAAGAAAGGTTGATCAGTTGTGCTGAGCACATGCCTTCCATCCCTATTTATCGGCACCCATAGTTGAAGAAGTATATCCTTATCCCTAGAGCAATCTCTTATGTGTCCAAGTGCCCAAATCAATCTATCCATTACAGAAGATGAAGCTTTTGGTCCAAACCACCACCTTCTATTCAACTCTGGAGCTTCAACAAAATGACTTTCCGATTGACCTGAAGTACACATGGCATTGTTTACATTCTCACCAAAAGGCTGAATTTGCTTTTCTTCTTGAAAATCTTTTGATGGGATCCCATTAAACTCTACATTGTTGGTATCTATAGTATTAGGCCACATAAAAGAAGAGTCAAATGGAGCATTGAAATTGGCTGGACTATTTTGCAAGAATTCATTACCATCAGTAGTCTCCAACCAACATCCCTCTAACAATAGTCCATCCACATAATCCAAATCCATGAAATAATCAGATTGGTTTGTCAACAAAGGATTCGAAGGAATAACGGTTTCATCCATTTGCTCTCAATCTGTCTTCAAATTCCTAAGATTAGTACTGTACTTGATCCAAATTTATGGTAATCACTAAGAATCCTTCTAACACAATACAACCTAAAAAAGCTCCAGCCTTGGAAAACCAAATCTGCCAAAATTATGTTCTTACTTAGAATCAGCAGTAAAGCAAAAAGGATAGAGGAACCAAAGAATCTCAAAACAACAATAAAAAGAGGAACTTTTCAAATAATATTTAGTTCCAGAATCAAATATATGAAGATATCAACATATTCCACCAAGTTGGATTTTGCAATCTTGGTATACATATCTGCTTCCAAAGTCAAAAAGTAGAAGAAATAACCAGCTACCACCAAAATATAGATCTATACAACAGTACCTATAACAAAAGAAAGTTGCAAGAATTCAAGATAGAGTAGTTTATACAAATAAGAAGGAAGGGTATGAGACATAAAACAAATTTGAAGGGAGAAAAAGGTAAGAAAATTGACAAAGAACAGAAAAACATTGTAGACATAGTAGAGATAAGATGAATGATCCAAGTTGAGAAAATAGAGACAAAAGAGGAAATGAGAGGAAGAGGAACTCACTATGAAAAAAGATTCTTGGATATTCCAAAGGTCAAAACTTTGCTCTATTCTTTCTTTTTGTGCAGTAAAAATGTAAACTTTGGCTGCAAATGTTCTTGTGTGTGTGTGTGGCTGTCTAAGAAGAAGCAGCATCAGCAACAAAACATGTGTAGGGACTAAATGTCCCTCTTATATCTTCCCCTCTCCAATTCCCCTCCACATCCCACCAATCACAAATCTCTCTCTCTCTCTCTCTCTCTCTCTCTCTCTCTCTCTCTCTCTCTCTCTCTCTCTCTCTTAGTTCCTATTATCTGTCATTAGCTCTGATGATTCTCNTTTACCTAGCTATACTATATTAGAAACTTATTAACTACTTTTCTTTATGTTCCTTAAAAATTACTTTATGTATCTATATTTACTATTTATGTACAAAATCAGGATAAAAGAAGAATCCCCTAAATATAAGGATTAATTTGTAATTGTATTCCTCATCCCTATCTATCAGCTTAATTAGACTCCTACAATCACGATTTTCTTCCCAATTTCAAAAGATTTTAAAGTCATTCTCTCTTTCATACAAATCTCTCTCTCTCTCTCTCTCTCTCTCTCTCTCTCTCTCTCTCTCTCTCTCTCTCTCTCTCTTAGTTCCTATTATCTGTCATTAGCTCTGATGATTCTCTTCAAGTAAAGTCTGCCTACAAGAGAAGATTCCTCTTAACAAAAGAACTGGCCCCACCACCTACCCCCTAACATACCCCCACCCCAACAACAACCCCCTCTAAAACTCTGGGGATTCCCGTTATAAAGTCAACTACAAATCAAGAAAACACCCCCATCTAATCCAACACTCACAACAAACAAGTACAAATTGATTTTGGATTCTTTAGTTCAAGAAAGAGCAAATGAAACTCAAAATGGTAAAAATAAAAAGGTCTTAAATTCATGCACTTCTTTGTTGGGTTTTTATTTTTTTTGGGTGGGTGGTTTGTACAGTATTTGTGAGTAGGAATTGTGTGTTTGCCACTTTCTTATTATCCATTACTATATTCAGATGCTCTCTGACGTAAACAAAAAAATGTTTAAAAAGGCACAAAAAAACATCAACTTGCATGTATTAATTATTTATTTTACAAGTAATAAAAAGGAAAAAGAACTTTTTATACACGCTCCTAGAATCGCCCGTGGTTTAGCAAGATAAAACATTTAGAATAATGACATTGTATAGGCGTTCTCAAAATAATTGTCAAAAAAAATATATATTCTGTATGTTACATATAAAATTTATATACTTTTTCGGCTACCGAATATATACAATTTTTTGTGCAGGCTAAAAGTGAATAAGCTCGTAACACTTTCGGGCGCGNTCTGTATGTTATATACAAAATTTATACACTTTTTCGGCTACCGAATATATATAATTTCTGGTGCTGACTAAAAGTGAATAAGCTCGTAACACTTTCGGGCGCGAAATAGGAGAAATTTGATTGGAGCGTGCTAAGCAGTGATGATTATAATGCGTGAGGGATTAGTAGGAATTAATATTAGATTAATGTTTGAACCATTATGGGTAATCAGAGTGATGACAACATTTGTGTAGTTTTAGGTAGTGTTATTATAAACCACAGCTGCACCAAGAACAAATTAGGACCACATTTTCGAAAATATAAAAGGTTCCAACTTGTAATAAAAAAGAAAAAGTATAGAGATTGACAACTACTATATAAACAGTTAAATTTTATTTAATGATAGTGTAAATTTTTTTATATTATTATGTATTCTAAAAAATAACTAGAAGTACTATTCATAATTAATAATATGAAAATAAAGTATGCTAGCTACTACAGTAGATAAATTTTTATCATAGTATAGTATTTTTTACGTTATTAGTGGTGCTAAAGTAATTAATTTTAATGAATTCTCTAAATATTCAAAGAATTTATATAATTGACCCCGGCTAAAAATTAAGACATAATTAATTGATTTGTTCTTTACTGTTTTCATCTGGAGGATTGGCAACTTCCTCAGATGAATTGTCAGAAAAGAGTATAATATAATTTTGTCAAGAAAAATAAACCAAAAAAAAAATCTCTCAAAAAGAGATAAAAAAATATAGAAGCATGTGAAAGTCTCTCGAAATGATAACCCATCTTCTTCTTGTCAATATATATATATATATATATATAAGAGTGTGTGTGAACATTTAAGACTGGAAATCTAGGCTAATTGCAAATATTATTGTGCTTTTAGTGTTGTTCTTTCATGTTATAGTTGGGTTTTTTTTTCGGGTTCGAGCTCTGTGTATGTAAAAATCCTCGGTAGGGAGCGCTTGCTCCCTAATGGGGTCCTACGCAATGCGAATCCGGATATAATCGGGCTCCAATGCGGGTAATGAACACCGAATGACAAAAAAAATCTCCTATTTTTTTTTCATTTCTCTCTAGCTTTGACTGTAATTATTATTGTTCTTATTATTGTAATAATATATGTCACACATTCTCTTTTAAAAAAAAAATTGTGGTTAACCAAAAAGAGATTCCACTTGCGTCTTATGAGATTTAAAAGAAAAGGAACAAAAGAATAATCTAAAGAAATATAGCAAGTTGCTGATCTCACAGAAATAAAAATAGCAAGTTGCTCCACCATACTCACTTTGGAATCATTACTTTCTAAATTAAGGGGACCATACACCTACTAATCCTCTAATTAACAAATATTTTATTTTGTAATACATAATTAACAATGTAAGAAAGGATTAATCATAGTAAGAATTTACATTTTGATCAATAAAATTTACTAACTGATAAGTGAAACAATAATCAACAACAACAACGACACAGTGAAATATCACTAGTGGGATCTGAGGAGGATAGTATATACGCAGACCTTGCCCCTACCCCGAGGGATAGAAAAGTTGTTTCCGAAAGACATTCGGCGTCTGAGGAGGATAGTATGTACACAGACCTTGCCCCTACCCCGAGGGATAGAGAAGTTGTTTCCGAAAGACATTCGGCTCAAGAAGACGAAAAGAGATAATATATCATTACCATCAATAAAAATAATAATATATACTATCTTTCGAGATTTTTTTTTTATTTTTATTACTTAAAGGGTACTTCTAATCTGCCTTATATAATGGATTCCATCACCACAAACATTTTAAAAAGTTAATTTTCTTTTTGCATTCAGGTCAACATGATGACCACTATCGTTAAATTAGTACTATTTTGAGTACTGTTTAGGCTATTTGCGATCAGACGTAATCTGCCATTAATTTGACAAGAAAAAAATTATTTATGAATCTCAAACCATAAAAATAAAAAGTATAATAAACTCTAAATTTGTCCATATATAAGGTTTGCCAGGTTAAGCAATTAGTATTTTCATATTGCTTTGATTACGTAAGCGACAAAATCTGGCATGTCTGAATCGGACAAAGAAAAAATGTGGAAAAAGACAATCATAAAAATGGATCTCTCTCTTACGTTTACAACTGCCTACTATTATTTTATAATTATAAAAAATTAGTTTGAAGAATTGAGATCAAATATCACTTTAAATAATGGACCACGATATCAAAAGAAGTTTCACGAATTCAAATTCATATAATCGATCAAGTTTAAATGCTCATTTAAATAATTAATGTAACATTATACTTTATATTTACCGACTTGATATCTTGGTTGGACAATTGTTTGCCTATATCATATTCTAAACTTGAAAGAGAAACGACTCACTTGGAGGTAGGATCAGCGGTTTAAAAAGTATCACATGTCGTGTGGTATTCGGTGCGACAAACACATCAAAGAAACAATAAAATGCAGTAGTGAATAATTCAGGAATTATTAAGTGATCATATATTTCAACAGACGACAACAGTAATGAATACATAAATTTTATCGAGGGAATCAACATCTATTATATATACATTAAAAAAATTTATATATAATGTGATTTTCTGACGAAAGAGTTACGGATGAACCTTCTTCGGCCGCTCTAGCTTCGCCCCTAAATGTCAGAGTTAAATTTTCAAAAACATGTTGATTAATATTTCAGCACCCACGTAGTTGAGAAGTTGACAATAATGTACTTGTGCAGTCGTGATTGCCTATGCTATATTATCAGCCCCAGCCAATGGTTATCGCTTGTGTATTTTCAACGCTTATTTTATGATTAAAAATAGATTGATATTTACGTGTACCTAATTATAATTAAGGAGTCTAAACTAGACGAAAGAGTGGATAAGTTGTGTGTTAAATGGTCAAAGAGGATTCTGCCAAAGATACTAAAGCAATTCTTGAATCTACTTTATTCCATCATATCGCATATTCTGATTAACCATATCTCAATCCTAAATTTTTTTAATGTCTCCAGTCATGAAATAGTACACACTCTAATAATACCAAGGAATCAAGGATTATATGGATTCCCAATATCGAATTCCAACGATGAAAATCTCACCTCCTACCAATTCCAAGCATAGAACTAGTGGCAATAAGTATATGTAATGTGGCAATGACACCTCCTGTTCAATTTTCAAGCACATATATAGTTGTAAAATTTAGTTTTTGGGTTGCGGCTGATTATTGTAGGGAACTTTGGAGCAACGGTGAGGTTGTCTTCGTGTGACGTAGGTAACTGATTTGAGCCGTTGAATCAGTCATTAATGCTTGCATCAGGATAGATCATCTACCTTATACAATCTTAGGGTGCGGCCCTTCTTCATATCGTACGTGAATGCGAGATGCTTCATATATCTGAATGCAGCTGATTACTGAGGCCGGAGAAGAATTCATGAGTGAAATTAGAATTTAGGGGATACAAGAATGGGCATGTCCTTACTATTATATGTATACACAATTGAGAATATAATCCTAATGTTTTCATATTCATATACAAGTTTAAGCCAGCTGGTTTGGTTACATAATCAATTAATAATGGTGTTCAGATTAGCCCTTGTGCACGATGGGAAGAAATCACATTTTTGTGTTCTAAAATTTGAACTTAAGACCTCATAATTTTTCTTCCACTTTATTGACCACTAGGCTACAACATTGGTTGTTGATAGGGGTGGCATGTGGGCTGATCCGGGCCCTAAATAGGCCAAGTGGGCCAGTCTAAACGGTCCCGATCCCAGGCCGGTCTTTAAATAAGCGGGTCTGCTAATCTCGGACTAAATGGTCTTTTTGTAGGAACCAGCTCAGCACCAGGACCACGAACTCATGGTCTCGGGCTAAACGGGTCGGGCCTGCGGGCTAAGTGGGACCAATGGCTAAATATTAAT